TGGTACAATCTCAGCTCACTGCAACCTCCGCCTCCTGGGTTCAAGCAATCCTCCTACCTCAGCCTCCCGAGTAGCTGGACTACAGGTGTGTGCCACCTTGCCTGGCTAATTTTTGTATTTTTAGTAGAGACGGCTTTTCACCATGTTGGCCAGGCTGGTCTTGAACTCATGACCTCAGGTGATCCACCCACCTTGGCCTCCCGAAGTGCTGGGATTATAGGCATGAGCTACTGTGCCTGACTTCCTTGACATCTTACGAGCTAAAAACTAGAAGTAAAAAAGTAAAAACAGGCCGGGCGCGGTGGCTCAAGCCTGTAATCCCAGCACTTTGGGAGGCCAAGACGGGCGGATCACTAGGTCAGGAGATCGAGACCATCCTGGCGAACACGGTGAAACCCCGTCTCTACTAAAAAATACAAAAAAAAAAAACTAGCCGGGCGAGGCGGCGGGCGCCTGTAGTCCTAGCTACTCGGGAGGCTGAGGCAGGAGAATGGTGTAAACCCGGGGGGCGGAGCTTGCAGTGAGCTGAGATCCGGCCACTGCACTCTAGCCCGGGCGATAGAGCCAGACTCCGTCTCAAAAAAAAAAAAAAAAAAAAAGTAAAAACAACTCAGAGGTCCATGAACAGTACAATAGATAAAATTGTAATATTTTCGGCCAGGCACACTGGCTCATGCCTGTAATCCCAGCACTTTGGGAGGCCAAGGCGGGCGGATCACAAGGTCAGGAGATCGAGACCATCCTGGCTAACACGGTGAAACCTCATCTCTACTAAAAATACAAAAAATTATCTGGGCATGGTGGTGGGCGCCTGTAGTCCCAGCTACTCGGGAGGCTGAGGCGTGAGAATGGCGTGAACCCAGGAGCAGAGCTTGCAGTGAGCTGAGATCACACCTCTGCACTCCAGCCTGGGCGACAGCAAGACTCTGTCTCAAAAAAAAAAATTTATAATATTTTCATACAATGGAAATCTATATAGCAATAGGAATAAAACTACGATTCCATGCAACAACATGAATTAATTTCATAAGCATAGTAATGTGTGAAAGAAGCCATTCCCAAGGGTACATATTGTGGGAACCCATTTACATTAAGATGAACAAGTAGAACTTAAAGTAATAGAAATCAGTTATGAGTTGGGATTATGACTGAAAAGAGATGTAGCAGGACCTTCTGAGTATCCGTAATATTCTGTTTCTTGATGTCTCTTGGTTCAGAGGTGTATTAACATTTCAAATTCATATTATACATGTACTTAGGATGTGTGTATTTTTTCTATGTTTGTTACCTTTTGATAAAGTTTGCTAAAAAAAAAAATCATTTGCAGATCACGAACATCCATTTAACCAGTATCTATAGGGAAAAGTGGGGATGTGAATGTTTACTCTTGTCCTAATAATGCAGCATTATAAAGCAGTATTTTTATTGTCTTTGGTATTTGAATTTTCTATATTATAGTTAGATAGTCTATGAAAAGTCATCAGAAGTTTAGAAGTAAGTTTGATTCTGAGGGCAAGAAAACCTTCATTTGCTTTTAGAATTCTCTAAAAGCACTTCTACAGCTCACCCAGAACTTGTATAGCCTTTTCTGTGTATATATTATTGTCTTAGCTGTTGTAATTTCCTTTTGCCTTAGATTGAGTTGTGAGATTCTAAACTTGTACTACCCCCACCCCTTTTTTGGTTTGGTATGTAATTTGCATATTTTCACCATGCGAAAGCTATTTTCTATGGTTGGAAAAGATTTTTTTTCCTACAGTGTGAACAAATCATTCTTTGTTCTCCTTATTGTGCCTCCAAACTGGTACGTCCGGTTTATGCCCCAAACAACAAAAGTCTGTCATCAGAAATTAAAATGCCAGTAAGAACAAAGGCAGAGACCATGAGGAGCTCTTGGAGAGGCTTTCTCCCTGTTCGCTCCTCTCCCCAAGTTACCACAGTTGCCAGGAAGCTGGAACACTGCTTGGTACTCGCCTTCCTCCTAGTTCTACTCTTGTATTTATTGCTATCGTTGGTTTAAAAGTGAACTTACAGTTTAGTATACGTCTTTTCAGGATCTATAAAATCCTTATCTTTGAGATTCCTTGCCATTTTTAATGAGGTCTTTTCTTAAAACCTAAAAAATCACTCTTGACAGCCTATAAAAAAAATCAGTTTTGGCACTTATTTGAAGGGAAAATTATCAGTGAACATAATGTATAAAATTATTATTCAGAAAGATACTAAAGCAGAATCTGTGAAGACTAACCATCCTCTGTGTGTCCTTTCTGAAATGTATGCATCATATCTGTAAAAACTTTGTTGACACTGTTTCTGTTCTGAAATGGTACTCTAATGTAGAATTCCCACAGACTATTTGGAGAGTTCTCTCCTCGAGGAAGTTTGACATTTTGTGATTCACATAGGATGGTTTAGAATTATGTTTCTAATTTCAGTAGGTTGTACAATCCTGATTTTAATATATTCAGAAATATCCATAAATGTGACACAATGTTTCCTCTGCTCCCCCCAACCCCCACCCCCGAGTTATAATTAAACACAGATCCTGGGACCTTAGAGGTAATGAAGAATGGACAGTGAATGTGGGGATGCATTTTATAATCAGTCCAAATGTTTTTTCTCCCCCTCACCTGTTGCCTTATGTGTAAGGAGGGATTTAAGATAGAAGCTTAGAATGGGGCATTTAGGTTTGTTTTCAAAGCTGTTTTGCTGAAAAGTATTGTGTATTCAGGTTTCAAAATGTTTTTTGATGTCAAAATATGTATTATGTATATGTCAAAATGTGTATTAAATACAGTGATAGCAAACTTTTATCATATTGTGAGTATGCTAAGACAGATTTGTTTTATTCTTTTTTTTGAATAATTGAGTATAGCAGCTCCTTTAAATATGGTTACACTTCTTTAACATAAAGATTTTATTTGATAGGACCAAAAGCTAAATACTAGAACTCTGGCATATGGAAATAATAGTATAGAGTGGTGGATTTTGTTTTAGAATACTATCATTTATTGTAAGTGTAAAATGAGAAGTATTTTTCATTACTTGAAATATAATTTCAATGTAAGTTCTGTGGTATTATTTTAAAATATATTGTTTATTTTATTAATAGAAATCACACGTATATTGGGTAACACTTATCTGTTACAATAATTTATTTTTAAAATGTAAATGGCTTGGCAGTGTTTTTATTCTTTTGGCTATTGTTAAAAATTTAAAAGGTAGGTGGAAATAGCCAATAACAAATCTGTAATATAATTAGATTACATTAGTGTTACACTTTTTAGCATACATATACTTAAAATAAAAAAGACTGTAATTTTTAGATTTCAGAGAATGTGTGATACTACATTGCAGGCAAGTTGAACAAATAACCTTTTAAGACTTTTTCTAAATTTTAAACTTTGTTCTATAATAATAAAATGTGGACTATAATGGCCGTGGTTTTTATTCTGAAAATTAAAAGTTACAAAGGAATTTGTAGAGTAAATAAGTTCTTATAGTTTGGTATAATGCGTTTATAGCTTTCATGTGTTTCATTGGTGATAGGTGGTGCTATTGTTGCACAGTTAGTCCTCGCATTCTTCACATCTGCATCCCAAGTGCTACAGAAGGATTTCTTGCTAATAAATAATTTGTAGTAATTATCATAAGCAAAATGAATATGATGGTTATTTAGGCATTATTACAACTTAACATTTATAAGAAACAAAAATATTTATAGTTTGCAGCTCTTAAATTCAGATAGAAGCTGAAAAATCTAAAAAAGTAGTTACTCTAAAAGAGAGCTCTGTAGATTTATAGTAATATTGTAAGATTTATACACTTCTAATTTTATAATGTATACATCTTTGATATTTTAAACTGCTTGTATGGCAGGCCTGTTTTTAAAAAAATACCATCAGTATGTTTCCTCTGTTGAATTTATATCTTTATTACATTGGTTGTAAGTTCTTTTGTATCTTGAACTAGTTTTATAATGGTTGCCATTTTCTTTGATATTGCATATTTCATCAAACACTAGGCAATTATGAAAATGGTTTGAGAACTACAGTACCATGTAGAGTAATTTAATCTCTCTCCCTTCCGCATCTCCCCCAAAGATAAACTCAGAGTTCTGTCAGTTGAGATGGAAATAGGAAAGCTATTCTTAACTATAATTTAATCTGCTCAGTGCTTCAATCAGCAGTTTGAAAAGCAGTTGTTTTCACACTTGACACATATTACCATACCCGTTTACCTTTTGTTCTTCTTTTTAAAAAATTTTTATCCCCCACAAAATGTCCTGAACATCCCCTTTATCTTTTGAATTAATAGAATGAATGACTCAAATTGCTTGGATATTCATAGTGTTTGAGCTATGTTTATATTTAAGTGTATAATAAAAATGATGACTTTTAAAAGTTGTGTATATATAGAATTTTTTGTTCACAGAATATTGAAATTAGAAGTATCCTGGGGGCTTTTTTAGCAGCTTTTCCTTTTCATTTTATGATTGTGAAAGAATATAGGCTTATTGAGGTTACATGATTTACTCAATGTTAACAGACAATTAGTTGCCTAACCGTAAGTATACCTAAATTATTCACATTTTCACTTAAGTGAATATGTATTGCTTTTTCTCATTTACAACATATTTGTTAAAGTTGCTACAATATTTAAGGTGAGATTTTCAGAGTAGTATTACGGTTTTGTTCTCAAAAGAGAAGGCAGTTGTGCAGGAACTGTACAGATTTCTAATGTTTTAATAAGATAAAAAATATAGACTTCCAGAACAGACCCTTTTTTTCTGTTCATATCAAGTGTGTGCTCTTAGAGTTTTCTAAAATTACTTGCAGTAATGTGACCAACAATCGTGTATGAGCAACAATAAATGTGTGTGGATGTAATATATATTTCAGACAAAATATTGTTATAAAATTTGAAAGATCTTGTTTTTATATAATACTGTTGTGACCTTCATTTTCCCACTGAAATATTTTCTTTCTTCTCTCATGCAGATCAGTGGGGAAGCACAAGAGCTCTTCTCTGTTCGACATGGCCCAATTCGAGCGGCTAGAATCTTGCCTGCTCCACAGTTTGGTGAGTGTAGTCCTTAAGAAGAAAATCATTCAGAAAAGAGTTTCTCTTTTGTTGGTCTTGGACTACAGACAGCAAGAATGATAACTAAAGTCTGTTTTCCTCCAAGTGTCCATTCCCCTTCCCCACCTCCCCCAAAGATAAACTTAGTTCTGTCAGTTGAGATGGAAATAGGTAATCTTAACCAATTCAATATGGCCATTCACTTTCTGCTGTGGTTTTGATTTATCTTCATCCTCTTTGATCTTGATTTAGCCTCTGCCTTTGCTGGCTCTTTCTTGAAGTCCTTTTCTCTCTTGGTTTTCATGGCATCCTTCTTCCCATATCCCTTCCTGGCTGACTGTGCCGCCTTTGTTATGTTTCTGGCTTAGCTTTCTTCTGTGGGTATTCCTCAAGTCTCTGTTGTTCTCCTGCCTTTGCCCTCCTTCTCAGTTATACTTATGCCGTGGAGAGCTTGGTTTTCACTTTTATCTGGGTTGTAGATGACTCTGCTGTCTGCATCTACAGCTATGTCAGAAGTGGAGTTTTGGGCTTTTAAGCTTGCAATTCTGCTGTAATAGAGAATACTTCTTAATGTTGTGTTTAAATAGTATATATGTTTTGTATTTATTAAAAAAATTCAAATATGTCTTTGTATTAAACCTGCTTTTAGATGGCTAAATAACTCCTGACTCCTTAATACTTTGAGTTTTCCAAAGGTATTATTCTCTTATTACATTTCCTGTGTTCACTCAAGACTATTTTTGCATGTGCACTGAAAACATAATCATAATAATCATGTTTGGATACTTTAAAATCTTTTTAAAAATAGGATATTAAGATATTTTAATTCTATTATATTTTAAAAAGTTACCTGAAGTGAAAAAAGTCTTATAAGACTTCTTGTAGCAGCTAATTCTCTAAATTTGTGAGATTGATGTTTTCGAAAACTTACGACATTGTGATTGTGCGTAAATAATATAGGGATTAATTTAGCAACTAAATCTGCCTAAATGAAATGAGGAGGGTGGAGGAAACAAGGCAACAGTGTCTTGCAGTCACGTGTAGATTTTCTCCCTTGCTATTCAACTCTATGGCATATTCTGATTTCAGCTCTTTCGCTGTCTGTTTCTTTCTCACACAGTTGATCGTGCTCTCTCTCGCTCTCTCATGCCATGTCACTCTCTCTTTTGTTCTGTTTTTTTGTTGCATTTGTAATTTGGTGAAATATTTTGACAATGAAGATTCTAGACCATCCTTTTCTAGAAGGTTTTTGGAATAGCCAGCTTTCTCTTTGGATGGTTGGAATCAAGGAGGACTTTATTACTAAAGGACTCTGCTCTGTTTCTTTGTGGGTAATTCACAGATGCAGGCTTTTCCCTCTTCTTGTTATTTGTGAAGTTATTTTGTTTATGAGTATTATCAATGTTCATCTTTTCTGAACTTTTAAGGCAGAAATATGTCATGAAAATATCTAATTAATATTGCTAATATTTTCTTTAGAAGTAGATTTAATTTACTTTCCTTTTTAAAAAAAGATTTCTTCCTTTACTATAATGTACTTATTTAAAAATATATTGTTAGATTTAAAATATAATTTTACATGGGTAAGTTTTCTGTTAGGAGTTAAGCAAATTACTTGTGTAGCTTTTATTGTACTTGATTAATTTTTTAGATTTTTGAAAAAGACTAGTCAAGTGCAGTAGTGAGAAGGGGGGAAAAAGTAGAACAAGGAGTTCCATCCGTAACTGACTGTAAACAATCGAGAACTCACTACCTTCAGAGCAGCCTTTTAGATTTTTTCCCCCAAAGTCATACGTGCAAATGATCACATAAAACTTGTAATGGAAAAGAGTAATACCCACTTTTCTCTTTTACCCATTTTGCTTTAATTTGTTGTGGTGGAATATGTAGCTTTCTGAAAAAGGATGTGTGGGAGGTATTGTCTGTCTTTATTCTTCCTTCACTCTTGATTGATTATTTGGCTGGATAACAAATACATGTTTATAAGAAAGTTACTTCAGAATTTCAAAGGCATTGGTGTAACATTATGTTGAAGAGTCTAAGGCCATTTTGATACCTTTTTCTTTGTGGCTTCTTTTACTTTCCGGAAATTTATACAATGTTGGCTTTGCTCCCGATGTTCTGAAACTTTGCAGCCTTGTGTCTTGATTCACACATTTTCTTGGACCCTTTTAATTTGAAAATGCAAGTCTGGTATTTTGACGAAATGGCTTCAGTTTTTGTTGTTGATTTCTTCCATTAAGTTTTCATTGTTCACTCTTTCTATAACTTGTATTATCTGGATGTTAAATCCCTTGTACTGGTTAATTTTTAAAAATTAATTTCTTATTCTTTTTTTGAGATAGTTCCAGTGTGGCTTACTAATACTTCTCTTGAAAAATTATTTTCTGCTGTTATGTTTTTCTTACCCTATACCTCTCATATCTAATACCTTCCTCCCTTCTTTCTTCTTTGCCTCCCTTTCTTCTTTCTTGGTATACTTTACGTATGAATAGGTGGCAAATAGAATCCAATGACATAAAAATAATTAAACATCAGGACAAAGTAAGATTTATTCCAGGAATACAATGTTGGCTAACATTTGAAAATTAATGGTCTGGGCTTGGTGGCTCACGCCTGTAATCCCAGCACTTTGGGAGGCTGAGGCAGGTGGATCATGAAGTCAGGAGTTCAAGACCAGCATGGCCAACATAGTGAAACCTCGTCTCTACTGAAAATACAGAAAATTAGCCGAACATGGTGGCTGGCGCCTGTAATCCCCGCTACTCGGGAGGGTGAAGCAGGAGAACTGTTTGAACTCAGGAGGTGGAGGTTGTAGTGAGCTGAGATAGCGCCATTGCATTCCAGTCAGGGTGACAGTATGAGACTCCATCTCAAAAAAAAAAAAAAAAGAAAATCCATGTAATTTACTGTATTAGAGTGAAGAAGAAAACCTGTATGATCATCTCAATAGAAGTAGGAAAAAAACTTTGCCAAATCTCAGTAGCCATTTATGATTAAAAAAAAAAAAATTAGCAACCTAGGAATAGAAAAAAGTTCTGAATATGATAAAAGTTATCTATTTTAAAAATGTATACCAAGCGTCATACTCAGTGTTGGTATACTGAATGCTTTCTTGCTGAGTTCAGGATGACTTCTGTCACCACTTCTATTTATTGTAGTTCCTAGCCATTACAATAAGGCAAGAAAAACAAAAAAGGCATAAAGATTAGAAAGAAGGATATGAAAGTGTCTTTATTCATCGATAACATGATTGTGTACATAGAAAATGCAATAGAACCAACAAATGGTTAGAATTAATCAGTGAATTTAGCAGAGCTGCTGCATACAAGGTTCTATAAATCTTTTGTGAACTGAATCCCTTCCTGTGCATTTTTCCAGCATCATGTTCTGTCATCTTTACCCTGTCCCCCTCACTAGTCATTACAACAACATTCCCTTGTGGTAGTTGTACTGAATTTCTTTTATTTCCTCAAAAGATCCATCCTCCTGCTTTCCGGTCTGCATTTGTTATTTCCTCTTCTAGAATACTCATGTCCTTCTAACCCTTCTTGCTCCTTCTCCACTGTCAGTAGTGCGTGCTCCCATAGGACTTAATGTTCTTCAATTGTTCATTTGCCTCTTGTTTGCTACATTTGCAGACTGTTTTTATGTATTCAGTGTCTCACAGAGTGCTTTATACAAGGTATTAATAAATACTTATTGAATGTTGCTGGATTGTATAATACTTTGCAAGTGAACACCTGGAAGAAAAAATGAGTTCTCTTTCTAAAGATATTTCTGTAGAAAGTCTGTCCCCTAACTAAAAGTGAGAAACTGAAGGATTTGGATGTTTTCATATCCCTCAGAAGACCATCTTTGTATTTAATGGGCATTTACTCATGTCAACATAGCTTATGCATCCCTGCTTCTTCATGGCCACTATCAATAATAATTGATTATTTTCTTAATGAACCTAGATCTGCCTTAGGATTTTTTTCAATACAATATTCCAGAAAGCTATGAATAATTAATTGGTATTATCTCAGATAAAAACTGTTACTAATTATCTTTCAAATCTGTCCTTCTAGAATTAATTCCAAGTAATAAATTTTTCTTATTCATTACTTTAAGTAGCCATTTTGGCTTTTAGTACCTCACTTTTGTAATAAAATATATCAGTATGTATATTTTAATATACAAGTAAAAAAGAGACTTTCACTTCCTTTAATATGTTTTTAATTTCTTTCTTTTTTTTGGGGGGGATGGAGTTTCACTTTTGTTGCCCAGGCTGGAGTGCAATGGCGCAATCTTGACTCACCACAACCTCCATCTTCTGGGTTCAAGTGATTCCCCTGCTTCAGCCTCCCGATTAGCTGGGATAACAGGCATGCACCACCACGCCCGGCTAGTTTTTGTAATTTTAGTAGAGACAGGGTTTCTCTATATTTGTTGGGCTGGTCTCGAACTCCTGACCTCAGGTGATCCACTCGCCTCGGCCTCCCAAAGTGCTGGGATTACAGGCATGAGCCACTGTGCCCAGCCTGTTTTTAATTTCTTAAAGTAAGGACCATGTAATTCTAACCACTGACAATACTGATTATTTAAAAAAATGAAGTAATACTGAAATGTGGGAAGTGAAAATTTATGTGAGTCTATGTTAGCAAAGATAAACCTGACTGCTTCTTTTTTTTCATCCTTCCTCAGATATTGAGCGTGTACTGAAGGCCCATATTAACAGTATATATTTCTAGTTTTTTTCCCCTTAACTATTCACACATGCATAACACTAACTTATATAATTATGTCCCAGGACTGGTTCAGGTTCTTTATATGTATTACATGTATTGGCTGAAGGGGGTGTGTGTGTGTGTGTGTGTATAATATTTTTCATAACGATATATAGTGAACATTGTTTTATTTCAGAACTTAGGTATTTTTTTATTATTGCTAAAAATTAACATTGATATTGTATGGACATTTTTATTGTTTTTTTCCTATTGGTTATATTATTACTTCCA